GCTTCAGCAAAAGTATCACACAGTAGAGGTAGAATTCAGCCTCCAACAATGAAGCTGAATATTTTAAAAGGGGGGGGGGAGGGGGACATCCAGCAGCAAGTACTAGAGAAAGCCCTTGAAGAAAACAAAAATTCAAACAAATCAGAACAATGAAAAAGGAAATAGGAGGAAAAAACCCAGCCATTCAGTTTCTCAAGGCAAGAGAGGAAGCTGCTATGAAGAGCATTCCTGTCCTTCTCTCCTTGAAATCTGTTTGCATTTTGGGGGCTAAGTTGCCAGGGTAATAGTAATTTCCTACCAATTTAAGAATTGCTAAGCAACCTGCATCAGCTAACAGCAACAGCATGTGTGTGCAGCTGGGCTATTTTGGGAAGAAGCAGATAAGTTAAAAAAAAAAAAAAAAAAAAGCAGCCTTCTGTTAAATGACTGTGCCAGCTGTGATCAGCTGGCCAAAAGAAGAGGTAATCCTGGGGCAGAGAGGCTTTAAGTGGATCAGTCTTTGAGATGAATGAACAGAAAGGGAGAGACAATGTCACGTTGTGCCCGAAGGCAGTCGTGTCTCCCAATCATCCCAATGCTGTAAAAAAAGGGCCAGAAGGCGGCAATCTGTAGCACGTGGAAGAAACAGCAACATGGTAAACTGAGAGGTTGCTAGAGATCAAGAGTAAGATCTCTCTCAAGCATTCTTTTTAGCTTTAAATATTAAAGGAAATCACCTCCATAAAAGGCCTCACAAAAAAAGGATGTATTAAGGAACGTATTCAACATGCAGCCACTCAAGCTGCAGCTATGCATACAAGTGGAAACAGGATTCTTTTTCCAGTAAATTTAAATCCAGGTTGACTAACCTTAAGACTGAAGCCTCATCCGCCCATAGTAAGGATATAGCAGTCAGCTGCAGCACAAAAGCTTCTCACAAAGACCAAACCCAGCTCTGGCCTAGAGGAAACACCTTCAGGTAAGCAGTGGAGTTTAGCCTCTGGACCACTCTGCTAAGAGGCCAAATACAGAACAGGAACTCCTGCCTTCTGGAAACTGCAGTATGATCATTTCATACAAACCACTGAACAGTCAAAAAGTAACCGTTTTCAGCTGGCAACCACAGGCTACATTACAACTAGTGACTCAGAGGTATAAGACTGCATACTCCATCTTGGAGCTTGAGTCACTATCCTCCAGACCTTCAATAAAAATATTGCAAACACAGGCAGACAGAAAAGTTGATAAGAAATGGATGGGTGTGTTCCCACTATGTAGCTAAAGTCTCCAAGCCTGTATTCAGCCTGTCCCAAGAGCATGATGGTAGAAGACTGGCCATTTCCAAGTATCACCAGAAATCTTTTGCTCCAGGCAGTGGTGAGATCTGCCAGTCTAGGATCCAAAACAAGACATGTTGGGACCAGTATGAAACCTTATCAGTCAAAAGGTACAAACAGCTGTCTTACGAGAAGTTAGGGCTTGAAAGGGGAATGAGCTGGAAAGAACCTGTCTGGTGTAACTGGACTGACAACAGCATTGTCTTCACATTGGTTGATGAATCCTTGTAGATAAAAGCAACTCTCCTCATTAGCTTGAAAATCCATTCAACAAGGACCAATTTCTAATGCTGGAAGCAGTGTCAAACTCATTCAGCCCGCCAAGCCAAATCTGGATCATGGTGCTCCTTGCTGGCGATCCAGACCTCTTCCAGCAGCAGAGCAAGCAACAGCAGCATTAACTGCCACAGATGCCTGAGGTGCTGCATGGGCTTAGGGAGCCAGGGGGGGATTAAAGCAGCCGTTTTCCCTGCGGACACTAAAATGCATCACCAACAGGGCTCCATATCCAGGAATTTGGTGGCAGGCCCCACCCCTGCTTGGCCCTTCCTGCTCCTTCCAGGGGCCCCATAAGCAGGTGACACTGCTCCACTGGCTAGATCTGGCCCACATTTTCAACATCCCTACATTTTACTCAGACCAGCAGTGCTATAAATTTGAAAAAAAAAGTTTCTGAAGACCATTGTCAAATGTCCGCTTAGCTTCTCAATGCCACGAACACCAGGCTCATAAATGAAGACTAATTCCAAGTATTACTTCAAAAACTTCACAGCTCAACACATGGTAGGAGATGCATGGAAACTTGAAAACTCCCAGAATGCTAAACCAGCAGCCTGGCTACACATAACAAACAAGGCAGTTCAAAAGTAGCACCTGTTAAGAGATTTAGGAAATTCATAAGTATTGCTCAGTAGGCCCGCATGAATAGGGAAGTATTCGATTTGGATTCAGCCAATTTGGAGGACAGCGATTCGATTCAGTGATTTGAATTACCATCCCCATTCAATTCAGCCAAATCAGAATCGTAGATTTGGCACCCGTTCGGATTGGCCAAGGAGAGGCAGGCACAGCTGGGCAGCTGCAGTTCTCCCGCAGCTCCTCTGGCTGTGCCTGCCTCTCCCCAGGCAGGGGGAGCCATGGGAGAAACCCCCATGGCTGCCTTGCCTGGCACTGTGGGTGCAGCGCGGCTCGGCAGGGCACTGCGCACTGCCTGGGAGCTGGGGCTGCGTCGTCCCGTCCTGTGTCCCCCCCCAGCTTGACAAGCAGCAGCAGGGCAGAGCCCCAACTCCTAGCGCTGCTGCACCCACATCCTGCACCTCCCCTCCCCACGTAATGTGCCCCTGCCCCCCCTGGGCAGCTTGTCCCAGTTCCAGTCCCAGCCCCAATCCCTCCCTCCCCCAACAGACTTGTCAGCTGCCTGTTTAGTCTATGGCCGAATCAATTCAGATGCTTCAAATCAATTTGGAGCTTTTAATTGGTTTCCCGATTCAATTTGGATTCAGAGATTTCGTCCCCGAATTGGGCCAAATCGTCCCGCCCTCTGCCCCCCCCCAGCTTGACAAGCAGCAGCAGGGCAGAGCCCCAACTCCTAGCGCTGCTGCACCCACATCCTGCACCTCCCCTCCCCACGTAATGTGCCCCTGCCCCCCCTGGGCAGCTTGTCCCAGTTCCAGTCCCAGCCCCAATCCCTCCCTCCCCCAACAGACTTGTCAGCTGCCTGTTTAGTCTATGGCCGAATCAATTCAGATGCTTCAAATCAATTTGGAGCTTTTAATTGGTTTCCCGATTCAATTTGGATTCAGAGATTTCGTCCCCGAATTGGGCCAAATCTCCTCCAAATTTAATCAGCTCCTGAATCTTCACACAGCCCTTTTGCTCAGTAAAGTGAAAACAACGCTCTACTGAAGTCAAAGCCCCTGCTTGCTTAAGTCCTGCAAACCGTAATGGGAAAGAACTCCTTCCAATTTCAGGTAGAGCAATATGTAAAACTTATATAATTCTGTTTATGCCCTCACCAAAAAAACTGAGAGTGTCCAATTGACTGTCAATGTTGGACAGTTCTCTTTACAAGGTTTCAACTACAGTACAAAACAGTGATTTTTGCAAGAGTTCTAGAGAGACCATTACCACTGAAGAACAGAACAAGCAGCCACTTTTAAGTCAGTCATATAAGCCAGTAGATTAAATTCATTAGGCTAAGAGGAGTTAGGGAGAGGCATTAATACAAGAACTACATTGTGGAATACAAGGGGCTTGCGGGAATTCCAATTTACAGACATCAAGAGTGATGTATTTCCCAAAATGGCTACCCCAATTCCAATCCATTCTTCTATAAGACTGCAAGCAGAGATTGCCCAAAATGTTCTGGGCCCATTCACTACTTGCTGTCGTGAGGGCCTCATATTTTGAATCTTCAAAAATTATCCCAATTTGAACTAACATTCCCATTTATTTCCCCCTTCAGTGGCCCCTTGACTTAGAGTCCAAATTTCTTCAGTCTGCTTTGCATCTCCTATTTCAGCTACCTGAATATCAACACGACATCTATTTCACTACCAAGTCCTGCAGATGATATTAAGTTATCAGAGACCTTTTACTCCTTTTCTCCCTGTGGTATCTGCCTAGATACACCTCTGGATTCCCCACCTCCTGCAAAATATCACCTTGCTTCTTTTAGCTGCACCAATGGCCCTTGTGAGATTTAGATCATAATAAATGTTACAGCCAAACTAAGAGGTGTCTAAAGGACTGAACGGGACAGGGAGATTTATTCTTATCACTGCTAGAGGAACCCTAACACCAGAGGCGCAAGGCACACTGGCGGGGAATAAATGACAAAGGAAGCTTGTACTGCAGCTGCTGCCCATACTGCATCAGCTTTGTGACTAACAAATTCAGTCTCCATTATGAAAGTGGTATTACTGCTTTTTAAAAAAAATTAAGGAGATAGCTTAAGTCAAGGCACAGAAGAAATCTAGAACAAGCACTAAAAACTTAACGTTACAACTTTCTTGCTAGTGCTGCTAGAATGGCACTAAAGAGCTTTCTGGCTCACACTACAAGACTCGGCTGACTGCACTTTTGTCTGTGGCCACAGACAAGAATATGGCTCCTAATCCCATAGGTATACCACACAACATCATTTCTCCCGGGCAGTTATATCATGACTGCCAAGCTGTAAATTAATTTACAACAGCAATTTTGCCCTGCAGGCAGGTCTGCCACTCTCTGTATACCCAGGCAGCAAATCCACCTACCAACTGGATCTCAGTACGCGAGGCTTTACATGCGAATGACAATTCTCTTGCTTGAAATCAGTGGCTGAAGCAATACAGAGCAACAAGGAGGCAGCATGCAGACAAAAAAAAAACCACTAATGGGGCTCTGCAGTACACTGCAAGCTGTCCCTGGCACATCTGTTCCTGGATGTTTGATGCAACCATCTAAATGTATGTTGAACCCTGGTTATATTAAACACGTTACTAGCATAGATGGATCCTTCACTGTCTACCTCCGAAATTCCATCTTCAACACAATGGGGTGAAAAAAAAAGTTACTGCTTTATGTTTAGGTTTAATCGTAACAAGACAAAAGTAAATTTAAGGCACATAAAAGACCCAATAGGTTTCAAAATAAAGCAAAAGGTGAGAGGCTGAAGATAAGAGAAGGAAAATCTGCACCTACCTTACTCACAGCTTCCACAGACAAACCCAGTTCTGTTCCATACCAGGAGCGCTTCTGCTCACTGAAAAAGGGAAACAGCACAAAATCACTCTCTTTATATACATATCACAGCCCATATTTTTCTTTATGTACTTTTGAGGCAGAGCTCTACCCACAGTGTTCTTTGTCAACACCTTTAAGTATTTCTGAATCCAGACAAGCAGGGATAGGAGTAAGACTATTTACTTGAATCCCCGATGAGGTTTTTCCTCCCTGCCCAAGTCAAACGGGGGGGCTCATCTTAGATTCAAGTACCACCCGGGGACACGTAGTAGCCAGGCCGCAGTGGCTCATGACAAGAGAAGCACAGGGGAGGCTGCACAGTGGGAATAGGGGGCACATGGGGGAGACCGCACAGACTGTCCTGCCCACCACTTAACTCAAGTCAGTCCAGAGCCAAAGCTGTAGTTCAGTATTTTTTATTATCTAGTTCCAAGGAATATGCTGTTCTGAGATCTTGACTAACTACAATGGCTCAACAAAAATCAGCTTCAACCTTCTCCTCCCCACAACCTGACCACTCCCAAAACATGGAGTAAGGAAGCTGGGAAAATGTTATGACTAATTTATTACTTCATGTTACTGCATCAACACCAGGAGAGAGAACAAGGAAAGGTAAAAAAAAATAAATAAATAAATAAAATTCCATGACTTTGCCACAACTTCAG